CGGAGAAGTTAGCCTGTCTGTGCTGATTTCTTATCTACTTATGTGGAAACTTAACTCTTTCATTTCTCACAGAGATCATCTAATCTGATTCTGTCATTTTCTGAGGTCCACAAAGAAAAGTGAATTTCCTAAGGCCACACAGGTATTAAATGGCAGAGCCTGGTTTTGAACTGGTCCTCTGTTTCCATTGAACTGAGAGGGGAGGGTTGGGGGAGAGAGGCAGTTTACAATCTTGAAGGAGAAGCTGCCTTCAATGTTTATTTCCCTTTGCCCCTCCTCCTGTCCACCCCAGCTGGTCCTGTGATGATCCAGGGCATTGAACAGGGCATGAGTTCCAAGGCAAGGCAACTCATCTGGGTTTGGGGGAAAGCAATCCCCTTGCCAGGTGGGGAGGGTTTTGGGGAGACAGGTGTAATGCACAAAGGACCCTTGGGGGAAGGGAGAGGAAATGGGATGCTCTCGCTGAGAATAAAGAAGGCAGAAAAGGCCACTGAGATTGGGAGGGGTCTGGAAAGAATCAACCCTCCCTGGAGGAAAGTTCACAGCTCTTGCCAGGATGTTATATTGGGGGTCCAGCCCGTTTACCTTTGTGGAGTGTGTCCAATCTAGACCTTTTTATGGGAAAAAAATATTTCCTCCCTGAGTTCATGTGGTAGGTTACTACTGCCAAATACTGTATATATTTACCACAATGTGGAAATTATAAAGATAAAAAACCTAGGTTTTATTTATATGCTCCAGCACAGTATGCCTGAGAGAAAGACAAAACCTGAACTCCAATTAGGTGCCTTACAAGCCCTCTTATGGGCAAAATTATATCGGAGTGACAGAGAAATAGTGCTTTCACATGGTGCAATCTTGTACATTTCTCTGAGAACATAAAAGTTAAATAGAAGATAGATCTATAATCTCATACTTTTTTCAATGTTATAAAATTCAAACAAACTTAGAGTCATAATCTCATACATCTCTTAAGGAAACAAACTGTCAAACAGACTATAAGTAAACTAAATCAGGTAACAGATTAAACTACATTTACATTCACAAATAGGCAGATTTACATGTTGGCAAGGAGTCAGGAATAGTTGAGATTCTTCCTAGGGCTTCTTATCTAAGGAATGTTTATGGCTGTAAGTAAATTTTCACATCTCATGGGATAGGTTTTGGTCAGGTGAGGTTGATAGTTAAGACAGGCTTTTAGCCAAAATTTGCAAAGAGGAGAGGCCCTGAATCTCAAATAATAATAGGAATATAGGAATAGGAAATAGGAATAGGAATCTCAAATAATAAAAGGAAATAAAAAATTCCTATAACGACCTCAAAATCAACATAACCAAACCTTCCAAACTTCCATATTTCTATTGAGGATGCTGCACCACCCTCCCAGGCCACCCAGGCTTAAAACTAGAGAATCATCCTTGAGACCATACTCTTCATCACCCCCAATATCCAATCAGTTGTCACGTTCTGTCATTCAACCTCTACCATATTTCTTTCTTCCAACACTTTCTCTTCTGGACTACTGTTATTAAACTTCTAATTGGCCCCCTCCCTGGCTTTCTCCTCTCTCCACATCCTGTCAAAATAACATTCATAAGATACGGGTCTGAACAGATTGCTCCCCTGTTCAAAAAAAGTGGAGTAATAGCTATTTCCTGTTGTCTCTAGAGTAAAATGCAAAGTGGTTAGCCTGACATTTAATGCTCCACAATCTGGCACCAACCTACCTTTTCAGCCTTATTTAACGTTACTTTTCTTCACATAGTCTACCTTCTACCTCAACCTGACCTCTGGCTATTCCCCAAACTGAATATTCTATTCTCACGTGGTGGTCAGAAAAAGGGATACAAGGACACTCTCAAGGTCTCAAGAACTTTGGAATTGATTGTATGACACAGAGACATTGGTATAGGACCACCCAGCACCATACGATGCCCTCAGCAGAGAAAGTGCTGTGCTCTATAAGCAAAGCAGAATTGAAGTAGCTCAAAAGAAATGTGAGATACGTGAATTTAGAGAATCCATCCAAGCTTGCATTGGTCTGATCAGACACAGTGGGACACGCTGTATCTTGACTCTACCATAATGATGCCATTTTGGTCTTCTCCAAGAACAAAGGACAACCATATATTCTTTGACCACCTTTGAACCTTCCTCAAAATCTAAGAAGGACACACAGACCAAAGCCGTCTCAGAAATAATGAATGAAACAACAAACGAACAAAGCATTTGATTAAGCATTACTGTGTGCAATGCACTGTGCTAAGTGCTTGGGGTTCAAATAGAAAAGTAAAACAGTCCCTGCTCTCAAGGTGCTTACATTCCAACTGGAGGATTCCACATGGAAAAGTTTCAACACATGGAAAGTTTCAACAGCAAGAGAGATGGAAATGTCCCATGGTCCTTAGGGGGCAGTGGCAAAGCAGATGGTAATGTGTCTTTCTTAATGTCATTTCCACTGATAAAATCTATCAGTTTCTGATGCTGAGCCATTTGACAATGGCAAGGACTTTGATGACAAGTACTTTCTTTCCTGGGTCTTCAATATCTGTGGCTGCAGTGCCTGCAGGAGCAGTGGCCAAGGTGCATCTCCACAGGGGCTGCTTCCCAGGGGGATAGCTGGGCTGGAAGCATTGCTATTTCCATAGCTATTGCATTCATCATCCTAGGCTGTTTCCATTTGGGTCTGAGAGGAAGTGATGGTCAAGGTGGTGGTTCTGTTGGACTGTCTGGCACGTGGTGACCTCCTGTCTCTCAGGGTGTCAGGGTGCTTTATGAATGACGTGAGCTAATGAAACATTTAAGTTTTCTGTGTAAAAACAAAGGGGGCTAACCAAAAACATCAAAGGGGTCTAAGTTAGAAAAGTATGAAAAGATGCACCACATATGAGGTGAGCCCATAGCCATGTGCTAGAATCAGCTGGAAAACGCTCAGGAGAGTCTATTATGGTCAGTTAAATGCTCTGAAATTAGCAAAATTACATATCAAGGTTTGAATTATTGTTTTTTCGGTTGTCTGAAGTGATGGAGAAAATGTCAATAATGCAAATTAAACTTAAAAGTGTGTCTTGCATACTTTTTTTTTTTGAAGAGCGAATTAAACATTTAACAGCACCCCCCCCCACCAGGGGGCCCTTATGTCTGTTCTAATAAGGACAGAATAAGATTAAATAACATTGAAGGAGGAGGGGCCAATGTGAAATACTATATTTGCACAAACAGAAACCATCCGCAAATATAGATTACCTCCCTAAGCCTCACTTTGAAAGGGGAAAAAAAGTTATGCACTGAAAAAAAAAACACAATCATAGGCACAGGCTTTATATGTTAATTTATTTTGAGGGGGATGAAGTTTATATTTAGGATCCCTTGATTTAGAGTTGTAAAGGATGTTGGAAGTCATTAGCACAACTGCCTTATTTTACAAATGAGCTCCACAGTAAGCATATGAAGTATGATAATGTCAGGATCCCCATGCCAAGACCACCCCTCTCTTTTTACTATTAGGAGACACCCTGTTTTCCAGAGCTAAGGCCCAACAAGCAAGCTATGCCCTGAGCTTGGCATAACAACAATCCTCTGCACCTACCCTTTGGCTGAACTCATCCACAGAAAAATTCAGAATCTTTTCACACCAGCACCAGGTGGTCCCTGAGCTGAGACAAGATTCTGCAGGACTCATGTTCTGGTCACGAAGCCCTGCTCTGAATCAAACCTGTCTCATTGTTGCTGTCATCCCTCAATGCCAGGGCTACGACTCACTGCTTAGCCAGTAGTTTGTGTATTGAGATTTGCCCACACTAAAATGGGTCTTTCTGTATCAGAGGAGGCCCCTGTCACACGTGTCCAGTTTCCCTCCTCCAACAGAATAAAGAAAGCTTTTTGCTTACGACCACTGTTAGCTCTTTGGCTTTATTTTATTTTATTTTTCAGTGTTAACTGTGGTTGTGATAACCTGTGAGCTCTCTGGTATTTTCAGAGTTAAAAGAGATTGCATAACCTCTGTGACTCTTTGGTCATTTGTTTTCAGGGTTGACAATATTCATAAATTATTTAACTTCATTTAAATCTATTTTAAAGGGTCTCTAATTTTTGTCTTAGAAAGACCAGTTCCTAGTATATTAACATAAAGTAAGAGCTTAACAGATTCTTTTTGTTTTGGAATAAAATCTGTGGTAAAAATGACTGTCATGCAAAAACATTATTTTGGAAATAATTTAAAGTACAAATACTTTAAAGTGGTGTATTTATTAAAAGTAAATATGTTAAATCCACCAAATGCTCATAATTTGAAAAATAACTCATGAATCATTTAAAATTCAAACGTCATGAACACAATCAGCACTTAAATGAAAGGTTTGTAAAGCACTTCACACAGCGCCTGGCACATAATAGGCAATTAATAAATGCTTGTTCCCTTTTCCCCTCCCCCTCTTCACTCTGGACTCAATATTTCAGTTTTTTTCTTTTTTTTTTTTTTGGTGAGGCAATTGGGGTTCGGTGACTTGCCCAGAGGCACACAGCTAGTGAATGTTATGTGTCTGAGGGCGAATTTGAACTCAGATCCTCCTGACTCCAGGGCCGGTGTTCTATCCACTGCGCCACCCAGCAGCCCCAACATTTCAGTTTCTCACAATGCGCTGGGGAATACAACAAATGTAACCGTCTCTCATTCTCAATTTTATTTTTTTCATAAAGCTGTGAGAACAAAATTGGGAGGTGTCAACAAGGGTCCGGTCCCCCTAACTACAAGCTGAAGCGAGGCGACCCCGCCCACTGACTCACCTAGGCCCTCCCTTCGCATTTCTCCCCTCTCCCCTCCCCCCACTTGATGCCCTAATGACGCATGCGCTAGGGCTTTCTCGAGGCGGGGGTAGTGAGGGGGTGTGGTGCTTCCTCACGTGCCTGCGATTTGGGCGCGGTCTTGGTTGTCCAGGGGGAGGGGCGGGAACGGGGACGGCGGCCCTCGAGCGCTCCTGGAATCGATTGCGGTTGCGCGGGCCGGAAGTGCTGATTACTTCTGTCTGTTACTTTAGACATGGCGGTGGTGGCGGCGGCGGAGGCTCAGGTCCCGGTGGGAAGACTGAGGAGAGGGGGCCGGGCCTCTGGGCCCGGCAGGGGCCTTGCCCTGTGCTGACTGAGAGCGTGGCCGGGATTAGGTCCGGGACCAGAATCGGGCCTGGGTCTGTGTCGGCCTGCCCGGCCATGGGGGATCCCGGTGGTGGCGGCGGCCGCGGCCGCGGCAGCCGGGCTTGGTGCTTGCGGCGGGTGGGGATGAGCGCTGAGTGGCTGCTGCTGGAGGATCGCAGCGAGGTGAGGGGGCCGGGGGAGGAAACTGAGGCGGGGGGTGGGGTGGGGAAAGAGGCCGCTCGGATGTGGGAGTCCTCGGCAGCTGAAGCCCGTGTGTCCGCCTTCTTGTCAGGGGTCTCCTACGGACCTGGGGGAGGTGGCGGGGGGGGGGAGAAGCGGGGCAGAAGGGAGGGGGCGGCCTTTGAGGAGGGAAGTGAGAGCCCAGACTGGGAGAGACGAGAACATTAATGCCCATTTTCTGATGAGCCTCTTCATCTCCCTTTTGTTGTCCTCCTCTTAGATCCCTCCACAGTCAGTAAACATTCATGAAGCTCCTAGTATATGCTGGGCATCGTGCTAAGGGCTGGGGAGCTCACAGCCTTAATGGAGACAACATGCAAACAAGTATTTGCAAGCAAACTATATACAGGATAAAAAGGAAATTAACGGATGCTAGAATTAAGAGGGATTGGGAAAAGATTCCTGTAGAAGATTGACTCTAGTTGGGGCTTAAAGGAAGCTAGGAGGATTCTAGGCATGGGGGAGAGCCGACGAAAAAGCCCAGGGTCCGGAGACTGAGTGTTTTATTGGAAGAAGATCAGAGTACAGAGGCACTGGATGGAATTGTTTGTGTGTGTGTGTGTGTGTGTATATGTGTGGGTCTGTGTGCGTGTGCGCGCGCGCGCGGGTCGGGGTAAGTAGTAAGAAGAATAGAAAGGTGGGTAGTGGGGCTTGGTTACGAAGGGCTTTGAACACTTGAGGAATTTATATTTGAACCTGGAGATGAAAGAGCCACTGGAATTTACGGGGGGAGTGGGGCAAGGGTTGTGTTTACATCATCAGATCTATATTTTGGAAGATCACTTTTGATAACTTAGTGGAGGATAGACTGGAAGGGGGAGAGACTTGTGGGAGGAAAATCAGGGAGCAGGCTTTTGCAATAGTACAGGTATCAGGTGGTGAGAGTGAGACTGTACTATGGCAGTGTCGTAGCAGAGAAGGGGGCAAATTGGAAAGATGTTGCAAAGGTGAAATCACTAGACCATGGCAACAGCTCTGATATCTTCTGACAAAGGTGACACTTCTGCTTGCCAAATATTATGCTTCTACAGGTGCTCTTGATCTTGTTTGTCATCCCTATGAACTTGCCCCGCCCTCCCCCCAGCAGTTTAGTCCATCTTTTATTCTCTTAGTGGGTATTGCCTCATCCACTGGCTCTTTCTTTTGTGCCTAAAAACTTGCCTGGATGTTACATAGTCCTTCCCTTTACCCTACCATCCCCCCCCCATACAACACTACTTCTCTTTTTGTTGCCCAGCTCCTAGGAAAAACCCATTGCTTCACTAAAAGCTCAGCACCTCACTTCTCAAATCCTTTCTGTCAGGAACACGGTCATTCTACTCAAATTGCTTAACAATAACCTCTTAACTTAGATTTGATGGCCTCTTCTAAGGCTTCTTCCTCCTTGAATTTTTTGTATCTTTTGACATAGTCAACTACCCCTTTTCTTGGATACTCCTTCATTCTGATTTCCTCGATGGTGCTCCCTGTTCTTTCTATTTCTACCTGAACCTTCGAGTGCTGATAGCCTACTTCACTTCTACTAACTACTCTTGGTGATTTCATTTGTTTCTTTAGATTTAAATATATCTCTGTAGTAACTCAGAATTTTTGTTTTTGGATTAAACATATGATTTTATCAGCATAAGACGCTCTGCTTGAGGAAACTCCCTCTACCAGTGCAAGTGGGAAGGCACTGAGAAGTGATTTGCCCTGCTTACATACCCAGTATTTGGGAGACTGAGGAGGAAATTGAACCCAGGTCTTAGAGATTCTTAAGCCCATTTCCTATCCACTGTGCTGATGAACTCAAACTTTTTTTTTTTGGTAAACCTCTATAAGAAAGGAATTTTTGAGCACCCGTATATTTGTATATTTATAAATTATATGTATACTACTGTCTGCACATAGGTATATTATAAAACATAGAAGATATCAAAAATGAGATAGATATAGTTGAGATAGATATAGATGAAATAAACAATCTTTAAAATTTTTATTTAAGAGTACATTTTGATTGAACAGATTGTGATACAGAGGCCTAGTGCTAAATTTGATGTATCCTGTTACTTCATTTTAATGGTTGGCATAGCTGAAAAAAATAACTTCATATAAAGATATTGTAGGTCCAGATGAAACAAATGCTTCATTTGGTTGTATTTACTAAATCATGATACACAATTTCCAAACCCAGATACCAAACTTGTTCATAGCTTTTTGTTTAAATTTGTCTTATTAACTTCCCTCTTTCCTGGTGTCAGTTCTTGCAAACTATTCAGAAGATAATTACCCTTTTTTTTTTTTTTGAACAAATGAATTGGGAACCTATTGAAACTTTTAGTTTGCTAGATTTTTAAATAGGTTATAAAATTTGCAAATTTAAGTGTGCAGGTAGTTTTTATAAGTGATATACATTGTGTTTTGGCGACAAAAGCTTAGTTTTAAATGTCATTCTAATAATGGCTTCATACTATCATTAGCATATCTCAAGGCGAAATGTGAACTTAGGATGAACTTCCTCATTAATAAAAGAGGATGTAAAGCCACATTTTAAAATTTCCTTAATATCATAGGTTTGTAGATTTAGAACTAGAAGGGACATTTATCAAGTCCAGCCCCCTCATTTTACAGATAAGGAAACTGAGGTCCAGAGAAGTTAAGTGGTTTACACAACTAGTATGTGTCCAAGGAGGAATAATTTTTTAATTTTTTGGCCGAATTTTATCATAGCTGATTAGCTTGTCTGATTTTAACTTGTAATGTGGCTGATGAAAATCTTGTTTACCAGTGCCTCAAATCTTGATGTTATCTTCAATGCTCAGTTTTCTTTTCAAGAATCTTTTTAAAGTCATTTTTCCATTTTATGAAGATTAGTTAAAAATAGGTAATACAATATGTAAATCCACTTAACCTGGGACATTAAAATATTTTTTTACCTTGAACTGGGAAGGATCTTAGATGTCATCCAGATTAACACCTTCATTTTAGAGGTGAGAAAACTGAGGCCCAGAAAGGCTAAAATGACTCTTCAGGTAGTAGTTATCTGAATAAGGGTTCAGAACTTTGGGTTTCCCAATCCCAAGTCCCGTGCTGTGTCCACTACACCCTAAACTCCTCTCCCACACCTCCATTTCTCTGCTACATATCTCCATCTGGATGTCCCATCAGTGTCTTGAATTTACTATGTGTGAAACAACTTACTTCTCCTCTAAACTTCCCTCTTTTGAGAGCATGGCCATCCTTACAGTAATTAAAGTTTATAACATTAAAATCACCTTCATTCTTCTTCACCCTACCATATTCAGCAAGTTCCCTGGTTGTCAGTTTTCTCTCCCTACCATATTTCAAATCTATTCCCTTCTCTCTGCTCATAATACCACCATCCTGATTTATACCTACATCAATTCTTTGCTTTCTATTTGTAAGAATCTCTTGATTAGATGCCCTGTTTTAGTTTACTCCTCCTTTTAGTTCATCCTCAGAACAGCTGACAAAATAGATTTTTGGGCACAGTTCTAACCATATCACCTCCTACTCTGAAACCCTTAGTGGCTCCCTATTGTCTTTAGGATAAAATGCAGAGTCCTCATCGTGGCATATAAGGCCCTCCACAAGCCTTATTTCATGTTTCCTTTTATCTATTCTATGTTCTAGTGAAACTGCACTACTACTGGCTATTCCTCAAACTGGATATATCTCTTAGCCCCCTCTGTGCATTTATACAAGCCCAGAATATAATTGTCCTGAACTCTGGCTCTTGTTTTTCTTTAGGCCTCTTTTAGGAACAACTTTTATGAAACCCTAATCTCTCCCAAGTAAACATTGTCAGGGCTCCCTGCCTCCTCTAATTACCTTATATTTACTTACGTACTTAACTGTATGAATATGTATTCACTCTTACTATATTGTGAGCTTCTTCAAGGCAGGGATTGTCTCACGTCTTTGAATCTCTGTTATGGACAGTGCCTTTGCCACATGGTAATCACTTAGCATTTGGATTGAGACTGTTTCTCCTGCCTGATGGTTACATAATAGCCAGTTTATGGGATAAAAATATGAATAAGACACAAACCTTTCACTGAAAGAACTTACTATGAAGTAAAAGGGATAAATGTGTATGGATAACTATAGATGGGGGTGGTGTGGGGATGAGAAATAGGGCTATACAAGTTGTGGGTAAGTAAGCAATGCTGCATAAAGAAGAAAGTGAAATGTGGATAGACAGGAGGAAATATGCATGAACATAGAGATGGATGGTAGCTGAGGCTGTGACAAGATGGAGCTGGGCCTTAGGGTATTGAGCTGAGAGAGAAATATAGAAAGGATCTGGGATTGAAAGAAGAAAAGGGAAAGTTGGATCAGTTACGGAATAAATGTCAATACTGCAGAGGATAAAAAAAAACAACATAAGACGGGATTCTTATTCTTGGGGAGCTTAAAATCTAGATGGGAATGCTAATGTGACATACAAAAAGCCAGGGAGAGGGAAGAAATAGAAACATTCCCTGGATAAAGGTTAGAAAAGTTGAGAGTTGGTGAAAAGGGTGGTTGAAGTGAGGCTGATAGAAGATGGTAGTTTTAAATTTTGTATAAAGTCGGAAGAAGTGAATGGAGAATTTTTTTTTTACATGAAATGTCTCTGATAAAAATCTAATAGTTAAGCAAAATATATAAGAGCAAAAGCCAGACCTAGTACATGAGGACTTGGAGCATATAAACTTGTTTTCAAAATAAGAAATGCAAATGATCAATAATCAGGAACAAATACTCCACTAGTAATAGAAATGCATATTCAAACAACTGAGGTTTTCCTTGAGCCCATCAAATAGGCAAAGATGATAAAAAGTAGAAACTGTCAGTGTTGGATAGGCGCAATAATACATTGTTGGTGAAGCCGAGAGGTGGACTAACCATTCTAGAAAATTTTGAATTATGTTAGAAAAGTGACTAAATGATTCATACCT